TTCTCGTTGGTGCATTTCGCAGGAGAGGGCGGTGCCTCTTACTGGCCCTGGTCGATGCACGGGTCACGGTCACCATGCCAACCCATGGGAGTAGTACACACAGACCATGTTGCTTTGTACATTAAGCCTCTTTGTTGCTTTGGTAGAAGGGGTGTGCCGCCTGACCAGTCCTATGCAGACGCTCTCTAAACCGTCTACAAACATTTCTGGCAGGGGTATGACTGTCCACTCGTTGTGATCATCGTTCTCATTGCGACGTTAAATAATTCATAAGGACCCTAGGGGTTGTCATCAAATTGCCTCTTGATCAGCCATATTTGTCAGACGTAAGGCTCCTTGCATGCGAGGATAAAAAACGGGCAGTTCCGGTCATAAGCATACACCTTGGGCATAGGGGTGGGCCGCTAATGTACACCTTAGACACTGCCGCTCAATGATGCTCATAGGTACGTTGGATACTGGGGAGGAAGATTCCAATTGAGACTCAACTGAAAAACACAACTATACCCATTGTGCATACATCTACTCACATTAGTCTATTTTTACTTTTGATTAATTGGTTGATAGATTGTTGACGCCTCACAGACAACCTAGAGAAGGACGGTAATGTTCTACCATAATCAACTCTTCATAAAGCTTTTGTAAGTGAACTAATCAAGGTAGAGATAGATTATGTGTACTGTCTTTGTATATGCTGTTGATACCACTTGAACGGTCGTATAGGTGACTCACCGGATAATTATTTTATTTTTATTTATTTTTAAAACCGATCAGACGCAAGGTTGTTCAATAGTTAGAACAGGCCGAGTATCGGTGGCAAGGAGCACGAATCAGGGGAAAACTATCGAAGTGCACAATTGAACATACAATGGACGCAACATTTTTTTGTATCGCGCAAGCGAGAACCAAACGATCTATAGTAGAAGCCTTGTATGGCCAGTCACGACTACCTGCAACTTCCGGTCAGCTCTCATATCTTCTTCCCTCGCTCCCTGTACGTTGATTTTTGGTTTTATCTCATCTCTCCCGTCGTAGTTTAGCATGGTGGTGATCCAAGGGCCCTCCCCGGACATCAAGGACCAGCGTGTTATGAGGTTCCAGCAAACTGGCCTATAGTCATCCAGCCTGTTAGGTCAAGCCATAGCCGTACTTAGAACAACCGTAATTTAGCGGTAGCCCACACTCACAGGCAAGCGCGACCTGAGCACATCACTTCATTGCCCGTTCAGATTGCCAACTTGAAGGACAAGGAGGTCCACGACCACGAGTATGCACCCATCTACCAATAGCAGGAGGCGTGACTCCCTCTCTTTTATAAGGTTACCGTATGCCCCAATCTATGTGTTCTATGAGGGACATTTATTGTACATTTCGTTTATTAATTTTGAAATTTAGAGGAATGAAATTAGAATGGAAAGTCGAATATGGTGCCACCTTTTAGTTGTAGCCAGCCTCCCAATTCAGCCTGAAAAGACTGACATCGGCGCACGGCAGTCCCATAATGGGATACCGACCAGCAATTCTCCCTCATAGAGCACTTAGGACCTACCACTGATGGGTACCCATGTCCGATGGCAAGGAGGGGGTTTATGACCTCCCACCAGGGGGTGATAGGCCTCCTACCGAGGCGGCCGCAGGTTACCCCTCTTTTGGGGTCTACATTGCAGCAAACTCAGAGCAAGTGAAACGTGAAAGGTCGAACAGTCTACCTCTACTCACACGTAATTACAACATCGGATGTCCGTTCTTCTACAAAGTGGCAGAAGATAAGAAATAAAATTCGCGAAGGGGCAACTAACAATACTAATAATAGTAACAACAATAATAATACTATTATAATAGTAAGAAAAAAAAAAAAAAACGTAGCGCCGCTGCAGTCTGACTCAAATGAAAGTGACCATTTGGATCAGGGTGCGGACTTGACACGTGACCTCTTCTCAGTTTTCCTTCTTCTTTAAAATGTCCCTTTTCTTTTCCTATCTTTTACGTCTTACTCGATGGTGACCACCTAGCCTATGCACACAACCCATAACGTGACAAAAGGGGGATCGACGTGCAATAGAAAACACTATTCACGTCCCTTGACGAGCCTAGCGGCTTCCATGGCCACAGGCTGGTAGTGCTTGTGATACGCAACCTCACGCCCCCTCGCGATGTCCCGTACGGGGTCGCCGATCAAAGTTCTAGGAGGGGCGTGGCCGAGGATTTTTGGCTGTAGGGGTTGAGTCTCCCGGACGGAACAGGAGACCCTCGTTTCGTGCCAGAGGTTTTCCCCGGCGTTGAGCTGTCGTCGCGGAGTCCCGTGGGGGTCGGATCACTCCGAAATGATAAAATCAAAAGGGTTTCCACAAAAATGAACTGTCGTCGTGCATCAGGACGGGAAAAAGGCATCAAGGGGAGAGGGCCATGGCAGCGGAAGACAAAACTTCGGCCGTTAGGGGTTTGGGGGATAGGTGGTGGGTTCGAAGCCTTCAGGCCTCATTCTCGGTCCTTACGAAGTGACTGAACCCTCGGGTCTTGGCAGTGGAGCTGGTTGGTTCGAGGCCGTCAAGCCTCGGCGTCGAACTCACAGAGTCCGCGCGAAAGTTTCCAGGAGGGAAACGCGGCGGGACGACTCGTCGGCATCCGAAATCGAAATTGCGCGGGCAGCGTCCCCGCACTACGGGAATGCTCGGGGAAACGTGTCGCTCCCTCGTAACCCAGGACCAGCCGTCGCCAAGAACACGAGTCCCCCTGGCGACACCAGCAACAATCAAACTGCGGCCGCCAAGCGGCTTGAGCCGCAGACCAGGGCAACACCGTTAAACCCGTGTAAGGCAATATTAGAGTCGGGGAATCAAAACGATCAATCAGAACAAACCCGTTCCCCCTTATCTCACAAGCTCGAGGCGGGTCTTGCCAACACACTTGCTCCGTCCGCCTCAGCGCGCGCCGTACGTCCGCATCGCAATAGACGCTGTCATCATCTGCGATGGGGAAGGTCGGTAGCGAGATRAGACGATCGGAGGTACATGACGAACACGGGCAAGGTCCCGCATTCCCGGTCACCCGAACCGACACCGAATCCATACAACAGTCGTCGCAACTCTTCCCTCTTTCAGGTGGGGGCGTCGAGGGAAGACGACAAGGTCTAAGCTCTCTCCCTTGGCGGGGGCGTCGACCGTCCGCGCGGGCGCAAGCGGTTGACGTCACCGGTACGGGGGCGAAAAACTCCAAAAATGAGGACTATCAGTTCAAAAAGGAAAGCAATGGAGAAAGAGAGAGTGAGTTACGCCGAGACCGTGCGAGAGCGCAGAAAAGGCCGCGGAGGGAAGGGGAACAACCGGATCAACACACTCGTACTCCTAAGCAAACCGTCCCCCAGTTCAGTTTCCCCATCCCCGCCTAGACGAGTACAGACACACATACATGCATGCAATCAACAACCCTTGACAAGACATCTAATCATCCATGGACCTTTGACATCACTCATGTGCACAACCAGCTCCCATCACTCGGGGCTTCACACACACGACATGCATAGGCAAAGCAGCAATGGAGATAAAAGTGAGTCCTTCTTGTACACAAAAAATTCAATTAGCTGCCGCCCCCAGGCGCAGCCTTCAAAACTTCCCAAGACCACCGACCGCCATAGCCACAAGGCCCTGCTGCAGCCGGCGTCCAATCCCCACCACTGCTCAGTCCCTCCGACTGCTTCGCCCCGAGACTATCGCGGGTCCACCCCACGTCGTCACTCCGCCCGTCCTTGGGCTCGTCGAGCCTGTTCGGCGCCGCGGACTCTCGCGCATAGCTCGCGCAGCATTGCACCCGAGATCAAAGATGGAGAGAGGAGAGGGTTGCGCGAATTTATAGCGCGGGAGGCGGCGGGTTGTCAGCGCGAGGTGCGGGCAGCGCAGGTTGTAGATGAGCAGGACAGGAGGAAGGTGGGGAGTTAGAGGGTTCGACCCGCGGGATGGCGTTGTCCTACGTGATTGGGGTGTCCGTTCAAGTGGCGTGCGGTTTCCCGCTCTCCACATTGATCCGAGCATCCCAACTACGCGGCTAATCACTCCGCGGGGTAAGGATCGAGCTGGGCAGAGGGGAAGACGGGGAGTCCGTCATGGCGAAAATGCACGCAGCAAGAAGGGAAGACGGTGTGAGGATGCAAAGCAAGAAACGGGGATGCGAGACGTGCGAAGAAATCGGAGCTTGGGCGCGCGCGCAAAAATTCAAAAAGTCCCAACCGCACTCGCTTCTTGGTTTTCATACTGCGGCCGCTATTCGCCCGCGGGAGTTATTAACCAAACAAAATGAAAAAGCCGTTTCAAAAAAGAAAACAAAAACAAAAAGAAAGAAAACCCCTTTCTATCCGCGTCCGTACTTCGGGGCGTCCGCGGGATTTTTCCTCAGGGATACGGCAAGCCGCGCGGTACGGATCTGAGCTAATCACATATGTGATACGCAGGGGGTTCCGAAAAATTAGCAGTCTCCCGACTGCTGATGTCATCATATCTTGGATGATCGGGCGGCCTCTTCATCGTCATCTGGCCCGATCATCTTCTTAATCTACGTGGATGCATCCTGCATCCTCCATCGCCTCCTCCCATAGTATACATCCGATCGGGCGGCCCCTTCATCGTCAGCTGGCCCGATCAGTAAAAAGTTTTTTTTTTTTTTTTTTTTTTTAATATACAGCGCGTCTCGACGAGCGAACTTTGGAGATAGGAGAAGAAGAAGAAGATGAAGAGAAGGGGAAGGAGAGAACAGGGGAGAGGTAGACGAGGGTGGTCAGAGGAAGTGATCTATGTCGGGATTGAGAGGGGGCGGAATAGGTGGAGAAAAAGCGGCCATTGCCGCAGGAGTCGCCGACGCTCCCTCCTCATGGAAGTGATGCTCGACGAACGAGGGGTAGAGGAAGGCTCCCGGCACATGGGATAGGACACGTGGTGCCAGATCCGCCACTGCTCGTACCACCCGCTTGCGCACCGATCGAGGCCCCGGGATCGTCATCACCACATGAGTCTCGGTGTAAGGCCGCCGCTCCCGCTTCTGCGCTGCGAAGACCAAGAAGTGGTACATCGCGTTGGGACGGAGCGTCCCAGCCAATCGCGCCGCAATAAACCCTTGAAAAGGGGGTGTCAGATATGGTTCCCACGTCGGATCAGGGCGCGGCACCCCCGCGATGGCCTCGAGCCTGATGGTGGCGGGTTCCACCATGAAGTCCACCTCGGTCGGATGGACCGTCCGGCTCGGATGAACTACTAATGTCAATGACCGGGGCACCCCGGGGTGGCTGGCGGGAACGGAGAGGTCCCGCGAGGACGGGGGGTCTGGATATGGGATCCGGTAAATCCCATTCGGCTTCCTCCTCCGGCTGCTGCTGCTGATGATGGCCCGGCTCCATCAAGGTTGAGATCGGGCACACGCGGAACGGGCGGCGATGGCACGACAGCCTCCTTAACAAGCGTCGCCGCACTCCCAGGCACGGGGTCCGGATTCCGTGGACGTGCGGACTGAATCACCTCCTCGCCGCCGCCGATCCTGCTGCTTTGCGCCCCTGGCGATGGGTGGCGTCTCTTCCTCTTCGGCGTCTTCTTGGGGGCCTTTCGTGGCGCCGGTCGGGGATACGACGAGGGAGGCCGCAACGGCCTTTCCTCCGGGAAGTCCTCCAATCTCTCCGCGCGCTGCGCAATGTAATCTGGGATGACGACCGCGTTGTACGTTCTCCGTGGGGCCGTCGCCGTCCGCAATCGCGGTTGGATCTCCTCCTCCTCGCTCGCGATCACCTGCGCAATGGAGAGGAGCTCAAGATGTATGAGCTCCAACAATCCCGGATCGATCGTCTGGAGCTGGGCGAATGGGTACAGTGCGACCGTCCCTTCCTTCTCCGCTGGCTTGGGCCGCGTGATGACGTAGTAGACGACGAAGTGCTCTCCGACGCAGTGGTCTTCGTGATCCACGAAGAACCAGAACATCCCCAGCGCCACCGACTTGTACAGCGCACGGTGCAACTCCCACACGTCTTCGTCGGCGAAGGGCAGCGGCTCCACGTCAGTTAGCTCCACCAAGTACTCCGAGAACTCGCGCATGGGATAAGGGCCCTCCGTGAGCTGGTAGGGGAGGGTGGTGTAGGAGAAGAAGGGAGGCATTTAGTACGGGATAGGGGGAATAGCTTAGAAGTTGAGAGGAGCAGCGGGAGGGAGAAGCGAGGGGAGCTGCGGCACCAACGCAATCGGTCCGTCCTCTGCCCTACGCAGCAGCACCTCGTGGGCTGTGAGTTGGTGTCCCCCCCGTCCTTGCAACGTGGCCACTGATCTGGCCGCTTCCACCGCGTATTCGCGCACAAAGCTGTGCGCCGGCTCCCGATTCGGCTGCGGTAGGATCGTCAAGTCTCCGATGAAGGTGGCGACGCTGTGCACGAAATTGGGTGCCACCGGGAGCGCGCGGAACTCAATGAATACTCGGGTCGTCTCCCGGCCAGGCAACTGCGTCACGTCCACGTACACCCGCGCATACGTCAGACGATCGCAAAGCAATGAGTACGCTGCCAAATCCGCAACCCCGGGCGCCGGCACGTTCACCTGTTGAATGTCGTACCGCAACTGCCTTTTCTCATTGAACCGATGCCGCAACAGGCGATCTGCAGGCGGCGTCAGGAAATGCTCGAGGGGCTCATGCTCCGACTGGCGATGGTTCATCCTGCTCCCTGAAACTCTCAACACCAATGGACGAGGCAGATCGGGAAGAGGAGGAGGATGAGGATGAAGAAGGAGAAGGTGATCTCGTAGGAGCGAGGGTCCGTAGGGGACCTAGCGATGGCTGGAAAGGTCGGAGCGCGGCCGCGTGCCGTGTCCGCGGTCGGGCCTGGGAGTTGTGGCGGGGAATCAGCTTCACGAAGTGCTGCCCCTGTGCGCTAACTTCCGTGACCTCGTAAATGCCTGTATAGCACGGGTGGATCTTGGAGGAGCGTGCAGATTTCCGTACCTGCACCAAGTCCCCAACTTTATAGCGGGGCAGTGGTCCCGCCGACGCGTGTCGATTCTCGTAGTCACGGATCTGCCGCTGATGTGTCCGATCTACGGCCTGCTGCCGACGGCGAGCTAACGGGGGATAGGCCCTAGCTATTAAGTCCATGTAGTGGCGGGCCTTGTCTCGATTCTGGGCCCGTGTTGCTCTAACTTCCGTACCTACTAAGGGGGACAAGTGCACTCGAGGGACACTATTGGTTCTCAGTTGAAAGGGGGACACCCCAGTACTACCGTGTGGAGTAGCCCGATAAACGGCCAAAATGTGGTCAATAATGACCGGCCAGGGTCGGGTGTCTCCCGCAGTGATATTCCGTTTAAGGGCCGTCTTAATCAGTCGGTTGGCATTCTCTACCAGGCCGTTGGCTTGAGGCCAATGCCCCGACGAGTAGATAATCTTAACGTCCGCCCTGACTACGTTACGTTCTACTTCGCCTTGAAATTCCAACCCATTGTCCATGTGTACCTCTTCTACGTCTAGATGCATGCACAAAAATTGATTTATGTACCAGGCTACTTCCTGCGAATTCCGGCTGGTCATAGGGTACGCCTCGATCCATTTTGAAAAATGATCGACGGCCACTAAAAGAACACTGAGTTCTCCCTGATCGACAGGCCCTCTCGGAACGTTGATATCCGTCGTATCGATGCTAACCCTCTGAAAGGGGAGCTCTACACGAGTGGGCACCATCGTCCGAGGCATCTGTACCGGCGCCTTGTCCGCCGCGCAGGCCGGGCAATTCTGAACGATGTATTTCACATCTTCCCGAATTCCCGACCAGTACCATCCGTTCTTTTCGATGGCTTTTTCCGTGTACTTGACAGCGAAATGGACCGCATCCTCCTCATGAGCGGCTCGTGTCCAATCGAACCTAGCAAGAGGGTACGGAACCGTCAACCAGCTAGACTCTCCATCGTCTTCGACCTTCCGTTTTTGTAACGTCGGGCCCTGCCAGCCATAGTCCTGCGATCGCTCTGTGACTCTCCGCCGTTCGGCTGTGGTAAGTTCTGATAGCGAGTCGCCTGATAGTCTCCGTAGCAATAGGAGGTCCGTCCAGGCTTCTGCCCGGCGGGCACTTGGCGCAAATCTGTCGCCTGTTCTAGCGTCCAGATACCACTTCTCGGTAGAGACTTGGTCCGTTCTACAGTTGGGACATACCCACGTCTTTTCACTTCGGTATCTGACGCACTGTCCGTGAGATTTGGCCGTATGACACTGACTACACTGTACCCATAAAAGAAAACTGGGCCCTCCCGGATGTGACCCTTCTTGGTCCGGGATCATAGGAAAGGTACAGAAGAAACAGGGACTTAGATGTGTTTCAGCGGACGAGTTGGGGCTAGACGAGGGAGCGAGGGAGTTGGATGAGGGCAGAGAGATAGCGTCGGCCATCTCCGATGAAACCTCCATTCCGGACTCAAGCATCGTCCTTACGCAGCACGCGTAGCTCCCCGTAGTGCGGTTTCGTTCCCGCGACTTCTGGCCTCCACGGAATGAGTCGCTCGTTGGCGGGATACTTGTTGGGCGGCAGAAGGCGCGTTAATCCATCGGCGTTACCATGCTGCCGCGTGGCACGGTGGCGGATGTTGAAGTCATAATCTTGTAGACACACCGCCCACCTGCCCAGCGTCCCCGTGTAGTCCGTGTTGTTGCGTAGGGACAGCAGCGGCTGATGATCCGTTACCAGCACGAATTTTTGGCCGTAAAGATACGGTCTGAAATGTTGGATCCCCCACACCACCGCCAGGCATTCACCTTTGCACGCTTCGTAATTAGCCTGCGCCTGGCTCAGCGTCTTGGACGCATACTCAATGATGTGCTCCCTTCCGTCCTTTCCGTGCTGAGTCAGCACCGCCGATATCGCCTGAGGCTGCCAGTCGGTGTACAGTGCGAACGGTCTTGTTGGGTCGGGGCGCGCCAACACAGGAGCAGATGTCAGAGCCTCCTTCAACCCCTGAAACGCTGCTTCGCATTCCGGCGTCCAGATCAGCAGTTCCTCTTTCTTCAGCAAGTTCGTGAGGGGCTTCGCTATACCAGCGAACCCCTTGATGAAGCATCGATAATAGGATGCCAGCCCTAGAAAAGCCCAAACCTGGGTGAGGGTGACCGGCGCCGGAGCGTCTTGAACTGCTGCCACCTTCCTCGGATCCGGTTTTAGTCCATCGATCGTGTACCCCAAGAATGAGATCTCCGACAAGAACAACTCGCTTTTCTCCAAGGCCACTTTGAACCCCGCATCTTTTAGTGCATGCAAAACCCTTTCAATGTGTTCCACGTGGTACTCGTGTGTTTTTGAAAAGACCAAAATATCATCCATGTACACAATCATGCAAAAATTGATCAGGGGCTGGGTTAGTCGGGTTTTGTTAACGAACTCAGCGAAGGCCATATTCCCGCTGAAACTTTGCAGGGGCGTTACAAATTCCCATGGGACACCGGACCCATTGCCACGTGCCCTCAAATAGGACAAAAGTGGTTTTGGGTCGGTCCTCCGGTCGGACTGCGACGTGGTGAAAACCGTGTCGGATATCGAACTTGGAAAAGACTCGAGCGGCCCCGATAGCATCTAACAAGTCGTCGATTCGCGGCAAGGGGTACACATCTTTGGTAGTGATAGCGTTCAATTTCCGGTAGTCGATACATACCCGGACCGAACCATTTCGTTTTGGCACGAGTACCACGTGAAAAGACCATGGTCCCAGCAATGGTTCGACCCACCCCAACCGCTCGAATTCTCGTACCCTTTCCAGCGCTAGTTGTCTTTCTTTAAGGGAATATCGGTACGGTCGACAATGTATCAGGGCGTGATCCCCGGTATCAATTGCATGCTGTATCGACGGGGTTAGCCCTATGTCGTGGTCCTGAATACCGACGGCCTCAGGATAGGCGCGTATAACCGCCAAAAAGAGGCGTCAATATTCGTCCGGAACACGGGTTGGTAACTGAACTTCTATGGTTCCCCCAGGAAGGGAGACCGTAGTCGTAACCGTGGGGACCGCCGCGAGGGCACCGGGCGAGGCCCCGAACAAAGAGTTGTCGGTTTTCGCCGAAAGGACAGTCGCAATAAGTTGATTGTCCGCCGGACTCATTAGCTCGCTTTCCATGTCACTGTCACTGTCCAGTTCGGGTTCGGCCGAGGGTTCCACCGAAAAGGCCTGTGCCAGTTCCCTCGGTCCCCACCGATATTCCCTTGTTCGGGGTTGGAACGACACCCCTTCTTTCAAAAGTATCGCGGTTTTTTCATTCGTGAGTAGGGGCCGTGGAGGTCGAAAAGATAAATCGCACAACCCCCTCAGCTCTGTAAATCTTTCAGGTAGGGGGTCTGTCCTGAGATATAAGGACGCAGGGGGTTCCGAAAGGTCTGCTATTCGGGACACCCTCAGTAGGGGTTCCCCCTGCACCACGGAGGAGAACGCGTGCGGCCGGTTGGACTCATCCGAACTATTTCCAATGGTTCTCGCCTCCAAGAATGGCGCCACCGATCCTAAACTCGGATTGGATATCGGTCGGGTACATCAGTCTCGTCAATTTCCGTCGAGGGTTCATTTTCGTCTGGTGACAGGCGTCGGATCATGTTGATTTGATGGACTTTCGTGGTGAGGCGAGGCGCCGGCTGGGTTCGCATGCGCACCGCCAGTCTCATTGGTATCGTTTGGGGTTTGGGGTGGGCCGATGTGAGCACCACCTTACGGCTGTCAATATGCATTCGCGCTCCGACCGCCACCTGCCACGGAATACCTAGCAGAACATCATACGCCTGTACATCCAGCACGATCACGTCACACAAACAATGCACCCGCCCTACCCGTATAGGTACGTTCATTATTCGGCCTTTACAATGAATACTGTCCTCCGTAGCGGATATATACAGTTCATCCGGTCGGAGGGGCTGAACCTGTCCTTCCCTTCCCAACTGTTTCGTCAATCTCCAAGATATGGCGATCGCCGACGATCCCGAGTCTAGGATGGCGGCCGAGGGATTTTCCCAGACCTCGCAGTCACACTCGACGCTTTTCCAGGTTATAGGATAGGCTCAGAGGAATACTTCGGGTTTTTCTGAGGCTGAGTCTATGGCCTGGATCATTCCTATCCGGTCGGCTTCGTGCACTTTTGAGGTCGAGGGCTGCGTCTCCTCGTTCGTGGGTAGGTCCCGTAGGACCGGCTTTTTGCCCTTTCGACTTTCCTTGAATCGGCGCCTGTTTTTGAGGCACCATTCGATCAACTTTTCGTTGGCCGCTTCGGAAATGGTTAGCAGATAGGGGATAGGGATGGGGATCCGAAGATCCAGAGCCTTCAAGGCATCCAGTACGTCGATATGGCCATCCTTGTATTCAGGGCCAAGCGCCGCAAGGTCTTCGAACCCTGGTCGCCACGGCCCGAGGTCGCTTTCTTCGGTAATTCGTTGGACGTGACGTATCACTTCGATGGTCCAGGGTTCGAACATCGCCGCAGCCATGTATTCATCGGGCCCTATCTCGGTGGCCGTAGGGGTCACCATTTTCGTCGCCCCGGTATCCATCACCGTGGCCACCCTCCCCTGTCCTGCAGCGGTTGGAGCAGCCAGCGGGATTTGCGAAGGCCCAGCGGGCCCTTCCTGAGCTCGAGGTTTCGGTTAATCTTTCGCAAGGTGACCTGGGTGATTGCAGTTATAACAGCGTAGGGACTGGATAGCCCCGGCCACGGCCGGTCTTATCATAGGGGCCCCGGCGGCCATAGCCACTTATTGTCGTTGTGTGGCGGCTATGCATTGCCGCTGCAGGCCCTTAACGAACTCCGTTAACGGGGCCACTACCGTAACTAATTGGGCCGCGACCTCCTTCATGGACACTCCTTCCTCACCCCGGCCTCCTTGTGCTTGACTAGGGCGACGGGAGGTCGAAGTAGAGGAAGAAGCTTTCCGATCCACGCCTTTTTTTGCCGGACCCAACCCCAAGCGATCTTCGAACATTCGTGCCGTAGCGGAGTAGCTATTGCGTCGAACACTCAAACGGTCATCTTCGTCGGATTCATAGTCCAGGCCCACATCGTAATTTTCTTTCCCGTACTTAATTGCGTACTGAGTTAGCTATGTCAAGGTATGTTCTATAGGGTTGCATTTCTTGCAGATCTTTTTCCGCAAACGAGAATCTGACAGTCCTCTGACGAAATCAGTCCGTACCATTTTCTCGTCCACCCCGGAGCGTTCGGCTAAGTACGTAAAACGTTCAGCATATCTGGCCAAGGTCTCCCGAGGCTGCTGTGTGTATTCCCTTATTAAACGAAGGCATTGACCCGGTGCGATGTGATCAAATCTATCGAGAAATTTACTCTGGAAGGCTGCCCAATTAGTGAAGGGGTTATGTCCATACCACTCAAAAGCGGTTTCGGCTAACCTTCTGGGTATTCGTTCTCGGAGCAACTGATCCGACCAGCCATGGGCTTTCAAGGCAGCTAGCCAGGTGCGAGGGTCGGTGTCATCTTCGGAGAAAATGGGAACTTCGGAAGGAGGAGGTACAAAGTTTAGGAGATGATTGGCCATCCCCGTGTGGTTGTCGCCATCGTTTTCACCCCCAAGTCCGGGTTGCACCATCGCGGGAGGCGGGTTTCGAGCCCGGCCCCTTGCTCGGTTCTGATTGCTATTCGCGGGCCTCCGTCGACGGGGAGCCAGCCTACTCAACAAAAATGTGAAAAAAAAACTAATGAAGAGATAAAAAAAAAGAAAAACTTTAAGACAGGGTACTCGTCCTAGGAAAACCTCGGAGCCGAAACGAACCAGCTCTGATACCAACCTCACGCCCCCTTGCAGTGTGCCGTACGGGGTCGCCGATCAGAGTTCTAGGAGGGGCGTAGCCGAGGATTTTTGGCCGTAAGGGTTGAGTCTCCCGGACGAAACGGGAGACCCTCGTTTCGTGCCAGAGGTTTTCCCCGCGGTTGAGTTGTCGTCGCGGAGTCCTGTGGGGGTCAGATCACTCCGAAACGATAAAATCAAAAGGATTTCCGCAAAAACGAACTGCCGTCGTGCATCAGGACGGGAAAAAGGCATCAAGGGGAGAGGGCCATGGCGGCGGAAGACAAAACTTCGGCCGTTAGGGGTTTGGGGGATAGGTGGTGGGTTCGAAGCCTTCAGGCCTCATCCTCGGTCGTTACGAAGTGACTAAACCCTCGGGTCTTGGCGGTGGAGGTGGTTGGTTCGAGGCCGTCAAGCCTCGGCGTCGGACTCACAGAGTCTGCGCAAAAGTTTCCAGGAGGGTAACGCGGCGGGAGGACTCGTCGGCATCCGAATTCGAAATTGCGTGGGCAGCATCCCCGCGCTACGGGAAAGCTAAGGGAAACGTGTCGCTCCCTCGTAACCCGGGACCTGCCGTCACCAAGAACACGAGTCCCCTTGGCGACACCAGCGATAATCAAACTGCGGCCGTGAGCGGCAGACCACGGCAACACCGTTAAACCCGTGTAAGGCAATATTAGAGTCGAGGAATCAAAACGATCAATCAGAACAAACCCGTTCCCCCTTATCTCACAAGCTCGAGGCGGGTCTTGCCAA